AAATGATTGGTCAGGCGTTTTTCAGCCATTTTATCACCTTTGGGTGATACGATGAGCTGCAAAGCCTCATTGCTTCAGGAAAGACTCACGGCCATCACGAGGAATCGCCAATCCTCTCTTTAGAAAATCCAGGAATTAATAACATAAATAAATATGACGGGGTTTACATCAGGAAATGGCTTAGTGAAACTGTTCCAAAACGATTTTATTTTTGTTATGTCATGGTGGGGAAAAAAAATACCGGTAGTGACATCATTCCCCGACGGATTGAGACTCACGTGACAGTGACTTCGCTCCGGTCAGCTGATAAAAGTGGGTTGTTTGTCGACAACAAGTAGAACTGCTCAGTCATTGATCGGTTCATGGTCTTCAGGTTGAAACAATGAGGAGTTTGATCCTGTTTGTTTTCGCGGCGTTAGCCTTGACCAATGAGGCGCTGGTCCGGTAAGTTATTCAGTCTTATTGTCACGCGCTTGAAGTAAACTAACGTTAATGCTAGTTAGCGGTTTTCAGAGGGTCACTCTGTTATCTAAGCTTCAAAGCTACAGAAAACGGTCTGGTTAAAGATGTTAAATCTAATAATGGAGTGCAGAGTGTCGAGCTTTATGTTTATATTCAGACGTGCTAGTTGTTACGTCCACTGTCAGCTATCGTTGGTCCTGTGCATGTGACTGTTCTTTGTCCCAATCTGATCTTGTCATATCGAGTTAAACTTGTTATACTGCTGTGGTCCAGGCTCTTCTTTCTGAACCGTCTCTGTTAGCACGCAATAGACATGTTTTCAGGTGTCCCCTCGTGTCGATGTTGGTTTATTTCTCACTTTAATGGTCATCATAATCATTTGAAATAGGTCAACCACGCTTCTCACGCGGAAAGATAACAGTTTTGCTCGAAATGGCTCCTTTAGCTGATGTGAAGTGTTTGATTTGTCATGTCTGCAGCCTGTGTGTGGTCCACTGTAATGGAGCAAGACATTACTAGGTGATAATGCAGGAAACTAAAGGGCGAGGCTTGTTCACACCTTGCACAGAGCAGCCTAACCTAAAATATAGGGCTTCACTTTTGATGTTGTGTACCCGCTTTATGCATTTATATGACAAAAGATTTAAGCAGATAGTGTATCGTTTGAAGGTGCTGAGAAATAGCCTAGTCCATGTGTACATCGTATGTACTAGTATTGCATCACTCTGAAGGATAACTCCTGTGCAGGAAGTCTGCGTCTGTAAAACCGCCACAGCCTGATGATCAGACTTAATTTCTGAACTTTTTAATACATTGTTAAGCACAAATCAGAAATGTGTGTGCCAATTACAGTAAGAGGTCTGGAACCAGGCTATATAAAGTAACCACCCTAAATCCCTTTTTTTACATTTCTTCCTGGCTAGAATTCCCTTAAAGAAATTCCGTTCCATCAGACGGGAATTAACAGACTCTGGAAAACAAGTGGAGGAGCTTCAGGCCAACAAACACTCCATTAAGTACAACACCGGCTTCCCCTCCAGCAAAGAACCCACTCCAGAGACACTGAAGAACTACCTTGATGTAAGCATGAAACCACTGACCTATAGATCCTTAACAATTCTTTACTTCCCCGTCTTCTGTAAATTCTCCCAGCTCAAAGGAAATTTGTACTTGTCATAACCAGTATATCCCCTGCAAACAGAGGTTTTTAGAAAAGCTGATTCATTCAAGTGTGGACTAATAATCAGAGAGTGATGAGTAAGTGATAACTCAGCTGATCTCCAAGTCTCATGATCCTCATCAGCTGACCTTAAAAACTGACTGTTGTGACTGCAATACATGACTGGTCATTAAAGAACTGGTCATATGGGCATTTTCATACAACTTTCTGCACCTGAGCACTCAGCTGGCACACCTGGCATTTATTAGCTGCTGTTGCTTTGACATTCTTGCCTGCCCCTGAAGAGGGTTTGAAAGTATAATCAAAATTACAGTTGCTTCAGCTTTACAGACTTTGAGAAAAGAAATCTAAACCATATCCAGTATCTTACAGCAGAGGAAAGTGGGGAAAAAATCTGGGGTTTTTTTCCCGCTGTAATTTATTTGAATCAACCAATAACCATAGAATAAATCACAAAGACATTCAACTTCTACATTGTGCCTAGAAAAGGGAACTACTGCAGGCCCTGAATGACCTGGCAAAAGTTCTTGCAGTGTATTTAGCAATGATTGTTTCAACCTCAGTCACATGAATCTGAGGTTTGCTTCAGCTTCTACATTTGTGGTATAATCGTTTGTCTTTAAACTAAAATGGCTGATTTACTGACATGACTTGCGGCCTCAGAACATTTGCTGACACTGACGGCTGTAAGGCCTGGTCAGCAGCGAGAATAGAACCTCCTACCCACTTGTCTCATATCAACTGCACAATCAGACCTTGTTGACATTTGTTTTCATCATTAAACCTGCTCAGCTTCTCTGCTATTGGTGGGAATGACAAGGTTTCCACATTGGGGGATTAGTGTAATCTCTTTTCTTGAGTATTTAAGATTGCAACTGAGAAAACAATTCTGGAGCCAGAGTCCTTGAAATGCAAGTCAGATCTCTACAAGCTGTCAGAAAAATTGAGGGTTGCTCTTATTGGTAATCATAAAAATCTTTTTTTTTTTTTTTGGCTAGGCCCAGTACTATGGTTTGATTGCCCTGGGCACCCCCCATCAGAACTTCACTGTGGTGTTTGACACCGGTTCCTCCAACCTCTGGGTGCCCTCCATTCACTGCTCCGTCTTTGACATCGCATGCTGTAAGTCCTAATGTAATTACCACAAATGCAGTACTATATAACGGCTATAGAATAACATTTCTGTACTGAAGTTAATCTCTTAAAAATGTTGTAGCTTGTGAGTTACAGTAAATAAAACCTATTTTTGTTTTTGGGTTTTACACAGGGCTTCATCAGAAATATAATTCTGGCAAGTCCAGCACATATGTGAAGAACGGCACAGATTTTTCCATCCGGTATGGCACTGGTAGCTTGTCGGGCTACCTCAGCCAGGACACTTGTACAGTAAGCTTGTCTCATGCATTGGCATCACAGCAAACTCGAGTTTGAGTGATGTTTTTTGTGACTTTCTCGAGTTCGTGTGTGTTTTAATCAGATTGGAGACATAACTGTGGAAAACCAGCTTTTTGGCGAGGCCATCAAGCAGCCCGGCGTGGCCTTTGTTGTAGCCAAGTTTGATGGTATCCTTGGCATGGCGTACCCAAGCATCTCTGTGGACGGGGTGACTCCGGTGTTCGACAACATCATGAGCCAAAAGAAGGTGGAGAAGAATGTCTTCTCTTTCTACCTGAACAGGTGAGTCTGCACATGAACCTACAGCTCCTAACTTCAGGAGAAGCTAGTGTTTCAGGCAAACCAGCACAGAGAGCTCTTCAGTGCTCAGCAGTTGGTAGTTAAAGATCTATATGTTTCTCAGAAGGCACTGGAATAAATAATGTTCTCCAAATTAATGCCAGTGTTGCGTCATGTCTGCCGGATGGGTAAATAGCATTGTTTGCTACTTTAATTGGTTTTTGACTTTGACATATGAGACACAAAAAAGTTGTGGTGGCAGAAATTCCTGAAACTTGCATTTTCAGAATGTCTTTGACTAAAACTGTCTCCACGGCTAAATGAGTTTTATTATTTTGTAATCTAGATAAAATCGCATCATCCTCAAAAGCTGGTCTTGATGTTTGACTGCTGTGTTGACACAGAGGTTTGAGGTAATGTTTTCACTCTGTCAGGAACCCGGACACTGAGCCTGGCGGTGAGCTGCTGCTGGGGGGAACCGACCCCAAATACTACGACGGCGACTTCCACTACATCAACCTCACCCGCAAGGCCTACTGGCAGATCCGCGTGGACCAGTGAGTGCTTGAATGTTACACTCAAACACAATTATCATGATAAAGACATTATTTCCTGCTAGACTATTAAACTCCCAAACCATGTTTTGAAGAGAATTTTTTTTAATTAGTTGACATAAAAGAATAGACCAACATTTTGTTTTTATTATGTCAAACATTTGCAGACTCCAGTTTCTGAAATGTAAATATTTGCAGCTTTTTTCTGTTTTTACAGTTGGTTTTCTTTGACTTGTCTAGAGATTTTTCATTATTTTCTTCCCATTGTTTGCTTTAAACTAAATGATTATTGAAGGGATTAAAAAAACAAAAGAATTATTAGTTGTAACCGGTTTGTAATCTCTAAACACGTCACACAGTGATGCTGTTACTGAAAGTGTATGTGTAAACAGGATGGCAGTGGGCAGCCAGCTGAACCTGTGTAACAACGGCTGTGAGGCCATCGTAGACACGGGAACGTCTCTGATCACTGGCCCAGCTACAGAGATCAAGGCCCTGCACAAGGCCATCGGAGCCATTCCACTTATTCAGGGAGAGGTAAAATAAACCCAGTAGAACTCAGCTGACCATATTGATAAAGAGGAAATATTATCTTCTCACCTATTGTACTACTGGAACTTGAAGTTGCTCATGATTTATAATGCTTTTGTTATCTTCTCACCTATTGTCACTGCTGGAACTTCAAACATATGTTACATCTGTGTTTTTAATAGTTTTGAGCAGCTGAAGCTGCTATTAACAGGCCATCAGAGGTTGCGTTAGACTTTCTCGTTGTCTGTCATTTTAACGGTCAGAGTCCTAAAATTCTGTCATAATTTATTATTACCCATCAGTTTTTTACTGATAAGACATATTTAATGGCATTTAAATAATGTATGGAACAAACTTTTGTTCAGTCACTTTTCATGTCTACACCACATAAAGCAGAAGACTCTGTCACACTGGAGCCTGGACTTGCCAGCTCTGTTTTTATTGAGAAGGGATTAGAAGTTGCTCATGATTTATAATGCTTTTACACATCTTAAAAAAGGTGGTTGCTAACGAGTGACTAAATGAGACAGGAACACTTGCTGTTTCAAGTGTAAAGCTATTAACCTTCATCACAGTGGGGGCGACAGTGGTGCGTCTCCCCGGGGCCCCTCGGCTCCAAACAAAATTTCGTTGTACATGTTACAATGACGATAAAATCAAGCTTCTTCTCCTTCATGGACTCATCTACTCACTAGTCTGCTTAACAGCCTCATTGTGTTTAAACACACAAACTTGCAAACTGTTCTAACTGACACAGCCACAATCACTAGCTAGCTTAGGTCACGCTTAAAGGAAAGGATATTGTAGAAGATGTAAGCACAAATTATTGTTGGCTTATAACTAACAATAGCTTTTTACTTCTGGCATTCACTTGTTAAGATTATCTTGCTGAACAAAACGTGCGAGTGTCATACACCATTGTTTGCCACAGAGCTTATTTTCCACAATACTCCAAAAGCCTATGGGAAAAAAAATCCCATTGGCTTTTTGTCGAGGGAACCAAGGTGATGCTAACTTCTGGGTTGGCCTAAGAAAACATCTCTACTGCACTCTAATATTGGGCTTTTTAGTAGCCTAACTGTAAGCTAAGGTAGGCTAGATTCCCTCCAGTGTTTTAATGTCAAAATGATAGATGGCTTGTAAAATTTTGATTTAAAAAAAATTCCATCAATTACAGAAAAGATTCTGTTAATGCGAGCTCTGGGCTGTTGCTTAACCTGAATGTCTTGATTGGCAGCGATAAAAGAACACAGACCTTACTTGAACCACAGTGAAGGCTGCTTGCTAGCTGTTGGAGTTTAATTATTTTCCATTTATATTGCATTCAATTTCTCCAGTGAGTGCTTTCAGCTATTTGGCAGCTTGTATGTCCATACACTGTTGTGGACTCAGATCAAACACTTTGCCACAAATTAATGCAGTTTTACACGTTCCTTTTTTTTCTAGTTAACATCATGAGATTCATAAATGAACTGTGTACTGGTTGTGTTTCAGTACATGGTGAGCTGTGACAAAGTTAAATCGCTGCCTCCCATCAGCTTCACCATCGGTGGACAGGGCTACACTCTGACCGGAGAGCAGTACATCCTCAAGGTGAGATTGTGTGCAGGACATACTGTTATCCAGAGGGAGACACAGTCACCTCCTGCTGTACTAGTACAACACTGAGCTTGGTTTCATTTGGCAAAGCCAGGAAGAGGCAGGTTTGTTACACAGATTCATGTAGTTGTTAGTGTATGTTAACGATGACAAACATCAATTGATTTATTTAGGGGAGTATTTTCTATCAGAACATTACAGTAGCCTTGTCACTGGCTGTGTGTTTTTTCTCCTTCCAATCATACAGGAGACTCAGGCTGGAACGACCATTTGTCTGAGTGGTTTCATGGGTATGGATATTCCTCCCCCTGCTGGGCCCCTGTGGATTCTGGGAGATGTATTCATTGGCCAGTACTACACTGTCTTCGATCGAGAGAATGACAGGGTGGGCTTTGCTAAGTCCAAGTAAGCACATCCTGCGACAGACCTGTTTCAAGTGTAAAGCTAAAAATCCAAGTTTGCACAGCACACATTTGTTGCTTTGTGATCAACCAATATTTAGCAATAGATTTTGTGTAGAACCTAACTGCACTGATCTGAAAAAATGTGTACGATTTCCAGCAGTGTGTGTGTGTGTGTGTGTGTGTGTGGATGTTGAGATATGAAGATTTAATTTTAATGTGTTACGATTGGAGATCAGGTCACAAGACATCTTTTAAAATCAGGGAGTTGTTTAAATAGACAAATTTTAATTTGCATTTTAGCAGGATATGGTCTACTGATGTTGAGATGAATCTTAATGTGATTGGCCTCAAACACTTTAAGAGAATTGTTTTGTTATTCTGTTCTCGTAATCTGTTATGAAGTGTTGCTTATCACTAACTTTGTGTTTAGCAGCAGAAAAAAAGCTGTGAGTTTCACCTGGTTTGTGAGTGTTGGGTGTAAACAATCCTTACAGAAATAGTTGGGCAATTTGGATTTTTTTTTTTTTTTGCAGAGAATTGAATGGGAAATTGTATCTATCCGTTAAATATGAAGCTGCAGCTGGTTATCTTAGCATACAGACTTGAAGCGGCCTGAGTCTGTGACTGGTAGCGTTTATTTTTCCACTGACTTCCAGACTCAACTGGTTAAGTGTAACGAAGCTCGTACATAATGTGTGCTGAGTGGATGAGACAGGAGTCACAGCATCACTACAGTGACCACACCGCCACCGCAGACGATCACTCAGTGGTTTTTGGCTCCTGTCTTAATCTGACTGAAGGTGACACAGCAGGACTGGGTGATACGATCAAAATTTGTTAGAGCATATGTAATGTTATGTTACACTACTGATGTATTGCTTGTCCTGTAATAAACATGGGTTTCCTGGAAATTCGATTGAGCCATCGTTTATACACAAATGTAACAACCACATGAGAATGTCTGTCTGCTTTTGTCTAGTTAAGTGAATTGGTCTATATACCTGTTAAATCAATGTACAGCATCACATTGGTGCAACAAAGCTTGTGAATTCAATATTAAAATAACCTGTTACCACTTTCAATGAGGCAACCTTTATAGCTGTGTATTAATGTTAAATCATTTACAAATGCCTTATCAAATGTAAGCCATAATAAGAACCACATTAGCTGTGTCTTTGCATCACCAGGTAGACCATGACAATTAACCTTACAACTTAACATTTATAACTGCAGACATAACAGATTATTATAAGGAGTTATCCTTTAACGGTATCTCACCTCAGTATAAATGTTACAAAAAATCTGACAGATTATTCATATTTCATAGCGTGTATTTGGCCAACACTAGTGACAAGTATATTTTTAACACTGTATAATATATTTACCTCAGACACTAGATTCCAAGATGCTCACAGTACAAAAATACTTGATTGATCATTCAATCTGTTCTTGAAAGTTGGCAGTTATCCAGAGTTGCTGGAAGTATCACCCTGGGCTGCTGAGACCTCAGCTGTGGTGCTGTAGTCTCCAAAAAGTGACCAGAAAACAAACATTCTGCTCAGTTTTCCTTCTCTGGTCTCTGCTAGCCCTCCTGCTCCTGATTTCCCTTCTCTTTTTCTGAGCTAGTATTTCCATGGTCCTGCTCCTCACTGGCCTCTGGGCTCTGGCTGTCCTGCCCAATGTGGGACTCTCTCACTGGGGCACCCGGGTCTCTGACAACCCCCTCCATCTCCACCTCCCCCTCCATCTCCTCTTCAGTCTCCTCCTCCACCCGGCCCACAGTGTCAGGGATAATCTCCACCTCGATGTCAGAGGAATCCTCGCTCTCCTTGAACCACACTGTCTTCTGACCCTCCCTCCTCCTCTGCTTGGTCAGGATTGACCTCATGCCATACTCCTCCTCATCTCCTCTGCCCCTCCTGATAGCTCTTGCTGAGGGGCTCCCCTTAGGGACGTGGTTAGTGTAGATGCTGCAGGAAGAGCAGTGGGGGTTCCGTCTCTCCAGGGGGATGACCCGCCCACGGGCCTGGGGGAAGGTGCTTCGTCTAGGGAGAATGTTGTTCCATCTCCTGGCACCACCGCGGCTCTGGTCACCTTCATTCTGGAAACCATTGTTGGTGTACTGCAGCGAGTCCCTGTGGCCGGTCTGTGGCTGGTTGGACTTCAGGCAGGGGGCCAAGCACTACAAGCAGGACAGAGACCATTACTGATACAGTATTTAATAGAGGATATTGAAACATTGTTCAAAGTTACAGATGCTCCCTGATTCCTGAAAGTGAGCCAGGTTTATTTGATCTGTTTTAAATGCAGATCCCTTCTGTGGGTTTCAGCTGATAAATATTAATCAGAAACATCCAGGAGAAGCTCTGCACATGAAGGCATTTAACAGCACAGTCTGTCTCTGACAGCTAAATCGTTACAGTATGGAGCTGCCAAGATTAACAGCTTCAGTGGAAATCCTCCTTTGTTTTACAGGCTATTGTCACTTAAAATGCTGACAGTTAATGTTTCTTTACAATGTAGTTTTAAAATATGTTAATCAATACAAGGGCCTTTAAATTTCTTTCACTTAAGACTTTCTCTAGTTTCAGTTTTTCACTTTCATAACTCCATATAATTTGCAATAAAATTGACCTACTACTATAGTTTAATCCAGTTTTGTGTCGTTTCATCTTTTCTACCATTTAATTTGGAAACATGCTCATTTGAATGTTATTTAAGATTTATTTAGACTGAAAGTCTCTTGGTCTACATTATCTTGTGTATAAGAAAGACCTGGCCAAAACAGTAGATACACGTGCTTGCTTTCTCGTGGAGAGGCATCTTAAAAGATTGATATTACTCTCATGTCCATCTGTAATGTGTCCTGGACTGAGGTAATCAGTTTGGCATAAGGACCAGAAGCAGTGGGAAATAACTCTCCTGGCTCAGCCCAAATAAAACACGTCTACCAACATCTCTAAGGTATCACCGATTAATAGTTGCATCTCATTTGTTTCAGAGATGAAAACAAGAGTACTGACCTCACATATTTTGTCCATGTTGGCGTTTCCCTTCCACAAGCGGGAAACCAAGAAGCCGATCACCGTGAGGCAGAGGACCAGCAGAGCCGCCATGACCAGGCCCAGGAGCGCCATGTCACCTGGACGGTAGCCGATGTTTGAGGGAGATGGGGCGGCTATAGCTGCAGAGAAGACAGGTCAGTGAGTCAACGTTAACCCTGCAGAAGTTATATATTATAATCCAGTTACTTACAAACACAAGCTTTCTCTTAAGTAGAATCTGACCACATTTAGAAAAATGTTATGATAGTAGCTGTGTCAAATATGAGTCCTGCCCATTGGTGAGTTAGAATTGATTAAATTAGTCATTTGAATTTTTTTATATTATGAATTTAACTCCAACATGAAAGTTTAATATTTTTTCTGGGTTTGGTTTAGGACAAATCTACTGAATAATAGTGTGACAAAGGAAGAATGTTAAGGGTCAATTCCATGTTTTTAAAATTAAAATAAAAAATATTCTATCAATTAGTGGCCACGTTATAGGGCAGTAACAATAAATGACTAGGAAAGGGTAGACTTTCTTCTTAAATTCTTCAAAAAGACTTCCTGCCCATTGCAATAAATGTCATCATTATGCCATCAAATTTAAAATCAATTGAGATTTGTACATTTCAGGTCGTAAAATGAGGATTTTTGCTACATTTTATGTGAATGAAAAGGCAGTGGTCTGAATATGATATTACAATCTGGTGACATTACACAGAAAAGGCTAAAACAAATAATGAATGTATGTAATGTGTGTATCCAAAGCCTAATATATCATATTCCTCTGTAAAGGCAAAAAAAGCTAATCAATGCTAAATATTGTGACAGTGTTCACGTTTATAACATGAAAAATGGGTATACAAGGTGAAAATATCATCTTTCATTTCTCTGTCTGTACTGCAGTCAGTATAACTGAGAACAATAGTGACTGTTGTACCTGGTATGACCTGAACAGAAAGGGCAGCTGTGGAAAACTCCCCTGTTGTTGTATCCACTGCTCTGAGCTGCAGGCGGAAAAGTTTTACAGCTTAGAAAATACCAAGAAATCTCAGTGAGCAGACATGCTTCGTTGTGTTTCCTTCTAAAACCATGTCAATCACCTGAAGGGCAAAAGACTCTGTCTTCACACCTCTTTTCAGGATCACAAAACCGTCCGAGGTCACATTGACGTAGCTGCTGTACTGAACCTCGTACCTCACATCTGGATTCACACCCTAATGCACGCACAAAAAAACACAAATAAAAATGAACACAAGTAAATGATTTATAGGATTTTAGATATTGCTCTATTGTTTTACACGCACAAAAAAACACACATAAAAATGAATGAACACAAGTAAATGATTTAAAGGATTTTAGATATTGCTCTATTGTTTTATGTCAGCAGCTGTGTACTCATAGCTCCCATATAAAGATGCATAAAAGGACTTCTGACCACTAGGGGGCAGACAAATAGCAAAACAAACAGCCCCAGTGTACCAATAGCTCACCGATTTGTTAGAGCTCACATTTAAAGACATTGTGGACCATTTTCATTAACCTGGAGTGGTGTTTGTGTGCACCTGATGAATGTATGCCTAATATTTACTCTTTTAGCTCTGTTTTTGGTTCCTACCAATGCCTGAGGAAAATATATGACTCTTTAGCTGCTAAGTGGAGAGTGGAGACTGCCTGCTGCATCAGGAAATGGAGCTGATAAGAGCATTTAGACTTTACTAAGCCATAGCATGAAGTTATGGGCTGTACAACCAAAACAATGAGCTGAGAGACAAAAGTGCTCAAGAGAACTGAGGTGAAAATTCTCTGTATGTTCATTACTACAAGTGGCCCATTTCACATACTAGTCATTTAGCCATTGTTGATGTAAAATTATTTCTTCTAGCAGCTTTAAGAGCATATTTTTAGTGTGTCAGGCTTGTCAACAAGTGCCAGTTGTGGTAGTAGCTTGTGATAAAATTTATATGTGCTTTTTAAACTTTGTCTAGCTTTGTCTCCCCTGATTGGAGAATAAAATCAGTCAATTAATCAGTCCAGTTTACATCCTTTCTAAATGAAAATCTGCTAGCATCCAGCCAGTCAAGGCCAGGTGTTCATGTTTATCTAATCCAGCCAAATTTTACCTAAAGGTGTCTGTAACATTGTTTTGAAATCTTCTTATCCACAACTGCACATAAAGACTCACACTAGCAAAGTCCTCGTCCCGGGCTCGAACCCTGAAGGGCCGGTTGGTGCTTCGGTCTCGGAGGATCATGCTTTCGGGTACAGAGTTGCTGTAGATAAATCCTTCATATCGCTCTCTCTCAAAGCGAGGAGGGTTCCTGCTCTTCTTCATCACCTCAATGGTCACCTGTGTCACTGCAAACTGATCCCTGTTAGTCACCTGTGATGCCTGATGATGCAGAGAGCAGAGAGATAGTTGGAAGGATAAACTGCATCATTTGCTTACTTGTCTTTCTTCCATTCAGAATCACTGTGTATACATATACATATATATACATATATATAAATGTGAATGATAACCCCCCAAACTATATATATTGTTGTTGTTTTTTTACCAGAACAGTGAGAGTTATTGGGCCAACAATATCAGCAGCTTTAGCCATGGTAATGTTTCCAGTTTCTTCGTCAATCTGGAAAATATTTCCTTCGTTTCCTGAAGAAAAAAAAAAACACTTTCATTAGTCAGTATATTTATAAATATAGTAGTATACTGCATATACAACATGTCCTCACTTTTACAATACAAAAACTCCTTGTGAAGTTTCTGTAATTACTGATTTCAGATGTTAAATATTAACTTGTCAGTTTATTAGGTACAGCTATCTAACCTAATGTAGTGTAATAAACAACCTTGCAATGCATCTTTTGTTTACTAAAGAAATACCTGAGTTACCTTTAGCTGTATAAGATAATGCATGTGTAATGTTAACTTCAATAATGTTTTGAATATTATTGGTCCTCTGTGATCATTTAGATTTGAGAAATCTTTTCTACATAACATTACATAGCCATTAACAAGCTACAGTCACAATTCAGAAAAAAAACAACTTTAGGTATTAGTTATTAAATGTTTCTGAGCTAATTTACTTAATCTATATTGTGTGTCTGTATCAGATTTGGTTGACTCTGGCCTGGAAACAGCAGCAAACAATCAACAGTCATCAGATTGTAATTAAGATATTGTTGAATCCTGTTTGATACAATGAAGGACATGACATCAATTTATTTTTTAAATTCAGTCAGGTTTAGATTAGTGCTGCTGCTGCTACTGCTAGCACTACTATTAACCAATATGATATGATAATAAAAGTCACATTTTAATTTCATGAATTCATATGTGACATATGATATGATAATAAAAGTCAAATTTTAATTTCATGAATTCATATGTGACCACTGGAAATGAAATGTTTTGCTCAGTCCAAACCTCGGAGTATTCTGTAGCTGATCTGCTCACTCCTGTTCTTGTCTCCATCCCTGGCGAACACAGGGCCGGGCTCCAGCACCAACGGCCCTTCCTGTGAATTAAAACCATATGGCACTGATTCTTCAGCCCATATTTGTATCCATTTATACCAAGACATTTCTCTCAGGCAGTCATGCAGCATCAAAGCTAATGAGCTCTCAACATGAGACATCCCTGGGGTAGTTACGCATCAAGTGACACTTTTGATTTGACTGTTTCTGCAGCACCTTCCTCCACTATCTGTGAGCAGTATGGGAATAACTTCCATCTGCCAGTTGACTCAATATACCATATTCTTATCACATGCAGATAAATGCATTATTCATGGCAACTGCTGAGTTAAAAATAAATGGCAAATGAAATTTTAATTGGCATCTAATAATTGATTATGATTCTTCTCAAAAGATTCAGCCTACAAAACTCGATGCTGAAGATCAGGCTGCACCTGTTCCACTCCTGAAAATGGCACAGTCCAGCTTCACACAGACCAAAACTAATGGTGTGTTCAGGTGCACCAGGTGAGTAGTAAAGCTTGTCACCAAGAAGCTGACTTCAATCAGCTTCCAATCATATCCATGATATCTGGACAGATGGCTATTTTCTATAAACCAGTGGCCTCTTTTGGACATGCTTTTATTAGCAATGGATGAAATAACTATATATTATGTGAAAGAGGCTGCTTGAGGTGACAAACCCACAGAGAAATCTGCAGTTCTCCTCAACTCTACAAAGCTTTTTTTGAATCTTATAGCTCATTGTTTTGGTTTTATGAAGCCGGCTCTGTCTTAGCGTTCACATCAGCCTTTTTCCCTCAGTGGGACACACAGTAGTGGAGTATTTAGCAGCTAAAGAGATTCCTCTTTCAGGATTTAGACCAAACAGAGCTAAAAATAAAACAGTGAATATCAGACATGTATATATCAGGTCACTAGCAACATGACTCTAAATGAATAATAATGTTGCTCCCTGAATGCTGAATCTGTAAATACACAAGTGTTCGCCAATAAGTTCACCATAGATAAAGTTCAAATATATAAGTGCTGAGTTTAAATGATTGCTAACTCGGAGATATTATCTTTAGGTGCAATGAAGCTGCTCTCTCCACATGAAAGTGCTTTGAAAACAGATTTGACATTGTTGTGGAGACTCACCTCTTTCTCAGTGAGATTGACTTTGCCTCTGTAGCCAGTGCTCACACACAGTTTGGCGATTCCCGAGTTTGTCCTCAGACACGGCTGAAACCACGGCGGCCGGTTGTCAACGTCTTTCACATGCACAGTGATGGTGGCCACAGAAGTAAAGAAGGGCTCACTGGAGGTTGAACCACTGGATGTATCCTGGAACATGTGACACATTTCAGGTCAAAGATCAAAGAAAGGGAAAGCCTACCTGGAAGTTGTTTAGTACTGTAGTGATTACTGTACCTGTACATGCAAAATCAGAGAGATCTTTTGTACCACATCATAGTCCAGGATGCTTTTAACAACTATTTTTGGAGTGTTTATGTTCTCCAGGCGGAAATATTTATCCTGGGTTAACAGACAGAGAGAAAAAGACATTATATATACCTTCTTCTGCCAATTGAAGTGAACCTTGAGTTTCTTTCTTTCTTTCTTTTTTATTCACAGATCATGTGAAGGATTAACCTCCATGCTCAAACATAATTTTATATAATGGGATTTTTTTCCTCTCTTATCCCTTCAAACATCTTGTGACTCCCTAAGACTTCTCCATGGGGGGTTCCAATACACAGACTGAGAGAAAGAGTGCTAAAATGTAGGTATATTGGAATAAAATGGCATTTTCCCACCAGGGCAGTTCAGCCTGCTTGTCAGCCCACAAAGCTGGGCTGACACCAGTTGGCCTCTCTTTCCATCTCTTTCTAACAGCAGAGGGTAATTGTGCCGACTCGGGTTCTGTCGGCCCTGTTTCCACCCAGGATCAACAGAGCCACCTCATCAAGACAGATGATTGGTTGAAATATTGTGCTGAAGATTTGCAAATAGAGTCTTACACTTGGTCTTCTGATCAGGGGTTAAAAAAATAGCTAGCACCAGAGGCTTCATGTTCCAAGCTAGCAACATCACAGCAACACTATCATTTAGACCGTGTCTACACCACAAGTGGTTTAATCATGTTTTTGAGACGTGCATCTTGCGCGTATTTTTAGCTATTTAGCTAAAGTTTATTTTTTTCAGAGCTACACGCTCCATAGAATTCACCAAAACAATGAAAGCTTCCTAGCTCCAACCAGAACTCCATCATAACAGAGAAATACATCAAGCAAATACAATTAAACCACATGATCTATCAGATGTTACATCAGTCCTACTGAACATGGAATTCTTTTTAAAGTGTGTGTAGTTTTTATTTACTGTGTTTTACTATGGGTTGGATACACTATAATCTAGATGCATTTCAAGTATAGCCAGTAATTTCCTCATTGTCAACCATTTGTCAGAGTTTTGCATCATGGTTTTCCCTTTTCCAAGGTTTTTCTGTGGGCTCCTGTGTGTGCTTTTTGTACACATAGTGCTTCCTATGTGCGAGTAAACACTCCCATAAGTCTGGTGTGAGGTGCACGGGAGATGCTCAACAAGAGAGAAGTCAAAAAATGCCAGAACATGAACACTGGGAACAAGGGAGTAACAATTCAACATTTTAGAGCAAAGACAAAATCATTTATACTGTATGTATTTTGTAAATGCTGGGTATGCATGAGGTACAGATGAGATACAAAACTAAAGTTTGGAAAAAAAAATTGTGTTAAACTATTTCTTACTGTGTAATAAAAGAGTTAAACTGGGAGAACAATCACAAACTATGTTTTTACAGTGTAAAATACACTCAACAAACATTATTGCAATGTGCCGGAGAAAATTCAATGTACAGCAATGGAGATCAATTACAGCCACATTCTAGGGATTTATTTATGTCGTACTGTTGTCTTCTACTTCACTGTATGATTTGAAATAAGGCCAAGACAAGCAATGGGTTTATACTTTTAAACAATTGCACCTATGTAGCAGGCGTGTTGGTCCAGTACTGCAGCTGCTCATCACAGGTACGCTGAAGTAAACAACTGTCAGGTCTGCTCGACGCGACCTGCCTCTCTTTCTTTTTTCCTCTCCTATTCTCCCTTTCTGCGGGATCAACGCCTCAGCTGTGTCGCATCGGGTAATTAGTGACTCGTGGGTCGGTGCGCACACCTGAGGCGTATTCCGGTGATTTGTTGGCTTCCTTATTTATACCTCTGGCGGACGTCCTGTCGCCGCCGGAGCATTGCGACGTGTAACGTACTATACGTAAAGTAAGTTACACAAAGGTTGTGTTTGACTCGCATTTGTTAGACGTGTGTAAGATGCTACGCTGACAGTCTCTGTGCGTTTTGGCTTGACCTTATCACGCTAATTATGCGGTTAGCAATACAGAAATACGTGCTTTGTCTTCCACGCTGACAGTCCCTGTGCTGTGGATTACATTGTTTACGTTGGTTCTTTTTGTTCACCTGTCCGTTCTCATCCTCTGCTATCCTAGTTCCTGTCGTTAGTTTGTGTGTTTACCGTCCTGGTCTCCTTAGTCATCACTGCCCTTCCCTGGTTGTATGTATTATGGACCCTGTTATGTTATCTTCATTAAACCTTAAGAATGTGGGCTGTAATATAATGACTCAGTACTGTAACCAGTAGGTACAGAGTTTTTGTAAAAATACTTAAGGTATCATTTATTTCTCCCATCCTCTAAGGTTCCCAGTTGTTACTCTCTTGTTTCCCATGTTTTTTTTCTTCCACTGTAGCTACATTTAAGTACCAGTCAGTATTTCATTGGTACCCTATTCATGCAACTAAATTACACTGTAAATCACAGTGTATTATGGAGTGTTACTACATGCACTGTACTTACATTTTGATGAACAGAATTTCTGTTCCCTTAAACAAAACAGAAGCAATATATCCAATGAGTCCAGTCACTAAATTATTCCAGTAGCAGTGGTCTTACCGTTGCAGACTCTAAGCGATAGTACAACGGCACTGAATCAACATCTGTAGCTTCTATTAACCCAACGCTGGAGTTGACTGGAGTGAGCTGCAGGAGACAAAGCATGCATCAACACCATCATGGGACCAACGTGAGTCCAACTGTTATTAAAGACTGAGCTGGAATCCCAGCACCACTCACCTCATTCACTTCTAGTACATAGTGGTTTTGTACAAAGTTTGGGGGGTTATCATTCACATTTTTAGCCAGAACTTCAACAGACTCATTCACCTTGAAGAGACACAAGCAGTGACTGAATCAGCAGCCAGAAACAGACTCAAATAAATGTTCTAAGTCTGCAGGCATCAATTTATAGAAATACAAAGGGTTTTGGACCCTATAACTGCTGTTTACAATAGATTTGTTGGTCCATTATAAATTATTACTGGCTTTTTCTCTTGAAAAACCATATGATATTGAGTTGATGTGACACTACTCACAGACTTGGAGCCCGCTCTGCGACACTGCACCCACACCACCAGAGTGGCACTGGACAGTGACTACAATCACAGACCAGATGAGATAAAAAGATACATGAACGCTAATACTGATGATAATTATATATATAATACATAAACATTCGAAGAGCCATTTTGTATAGCATCACATTTTCTATTATTTAAATCCATATACTGTATGTTAGTGCTGATTTCTTTTTTAAATTTACTTAAACTTAATGGCACTGAATAAAACTTTAGCTTGAGTGGTTCAAGTCAAAGTTTTTCTTAAACCTGTCCTTTTCCCCACAACATAAAAAAACATTATAAACAAACATAGATGCATGATCCAAAGCACAAAACATGATTTCACAATTAAATCAACTGAATATTTCCTTTTATTTAGTTTAAGATTAGATTACAATATGAGCACAGGGGGGAATGCTACACCTTTTTCCGTGTGTAATAGTCCTTCAGTTTTGTAGCTGTCTTTTTTAAAACTTTTCTCCAACAATGAGTGTCAATCAGTAGGAAGTGATTTCCTTTAATCAGAGGCATCCTCAGGTTAGCCCCTCAGAAAATCTCGTCACAACATTCACACCCATAACTTTACACAATGATTAATGTGTGTCAGGAGGGCAATCTCCAACCGCTATGTATATAAACAAATAAACAAAATGGTACACTGCAATAAAAAATATCAGGGCAACCATCACAACTCGCTGTGGGATCATTCTGGCTCTAATTACCTCATAGTCCAGTCCTTTCTTTATCATCAGGGTATTCCCTTTTAGGTAGAACAGATCTTCAGGGTTCACTGTAATCATCAGTGTAACATCACTACTGGAGCTTATTTGTACCACCTGGACGTCAGCTGTGTTGTTTTCTGGGACAGTCACAGGACCAGGAGGCACCGTGCAAACTGAGAGAGGTGAGAGGCATTAAATAAATCTGGTTTTTGAGATAAGATAAAATCCGGCTTATTGATGTTGATGAACTCTGATGTGGATTTGTGTCAGAAATAACAGAATGAAATAAAATATTATATCCAACATTGTGCAGATTAATCTCTGCAACTCTCACTGAATTTTCATTAATGAGGGTAACCTGTCATTTGCAATTTGAGTCTTATAATGCAACATAAAGCACATGTGCAGATGAAGCCATGCAGAAACACGGGCCCTGGGGGTCTGGCTAGGGTTATTTGCTTTGCCCAGGCATCCACTCCAGAGCAGATCTTAGCTTAATCTATCTGAACCTAGTTTAAAAATGGAGCTTAAGACTAATATCAAGTCTAAAGTCCTAATGTTGCTATTTCTTGTGTGATATGTCATACATTCTGTTGTCTTTTTTAAGTGGGCCTGTACAGTCGAATGCAGTTCAATACAACAGAGCTGCCAAAAACTGAACCTCTACAAAGTTTATAATTATAGTTTTTGGTGACATTGTAAAAAATGTGTAATCTTTACATAGTTAAGGATGGTGTTATATTGAGAGATGCTTCACATTTTTTTACATCCCTATTTATTTATATATGTATATAAAATGGTTAAAATATTAGACACAGCTCTGAATATAATGGAATCCAGTAGGATCATCATGAACTATGCCCTCAGCACTAAAACATAAAATTGAATTCACAGCTCCATGACAGTGCCAACAGCTTTACAGGTTCTATAAACAATTAGTCCATTTTCCATCCTTTAAGAAGGCAAACATTTGATTGTACAAAATTATGATGATAATTTATGACGTGTCTAGTTTTTGCTTTTTTTCAAGTGAACTGCTGGATAATTTTACCACTTCAGGCCTTTATAAATCTTTTACATGAAGCAATTATAACAAATAAAATAAATTTAAAAAATACTCTTGTGTTCTTGTGATGAGAGTGTCACAAGTACACATAGCTTAATTTTAAGGTGCCACAGGCCAAAAACATCAGGGATCACTGCTTTAAATGACCAAATGTTACAAACATTAACTGTGTCTCTCACACAGTGTGTAGCCTCATCAAGATCTACAGCTCCCTTCCTGTCCTGAACAGCGACAGATGACGCCACAGAAATCAGAGCTCTACTCACGTCTTTGAGCCGGACAAACTGTACAAAAGCAGATGGAGACGATGCATCCAAGGAGACCGTTCACAGGTTTGATCTTCGATTTCAGTTCCATGTCCTGATTTCAGACACACCAACAAATGAAGTCCCCTAGGAGGATGAGGAGCCCGTGGTACCAGCTGGTACTCATCCACATAATGCCCTGTCTGTGCTGCCTGGCGAGTGGGAGTCGACTACAGTTGCAATGTTTGTGACTTCATCTTAGGGGCACATATTGCATTAAGCGCCTGCCAGCAGAGGACTCGCAGCCTCCCACTGAAATACTTGCATCTGTTTTAGCTGGACGAGTCATTCTGCACTGGTAGCCCGGATGCATTCTGGGAGGAATCCAGCAGAGCAATTCTGCCAACTGAAAACATTTCTCACATATTAAAATACTCCTCATGATAGACAAACCTGATGCAGCACTGCTTGTTAGTGACAAATCTACAATAAAAATGTACATGCATGCAAACATACTATACATACAGTGAAGAGAGGCCATGGAAACTGTAATTCTTTTTGTGCCATTCACATACAGGACAGTATATCAATTGTTCTTTTACTCATACAGTGTACACAGTAAGGTTTTAGGCACTTAATAGGTTTAGATTGGTAACCATAACACAATATCATGAGGGAGGCAAATGATTGGTTCTGAAATTATTCTGCAACATGACAACAGCCCAAAGGTCCAGCCAGAGTCATAATGAACCATCTTCAGAGACAAGACGAACAAGGAGTCCTGTGCCTGATGGTGTGACCCCCATAAAGCCATAATAGCAGCGGTGTGAGGCTGTGTGAGGCCCAGCAGAGCCTGGAGCTAAATGCTAATGCTAGCATGGCAACATGCTCACAATTACCATGTCAATGTAAGCAGGTATGTATAATGTTCACCTTCTTAGGTTAGACTGCTAGTTAATTAGTACTAAACTTGGGATGATGAAAATATCATTAGTTCTGCAGGTGAACAAATTATAATTTTGGCCAGTTGATGGCACTAGATGAAAAGTCACCAAAGTGATTACAGTTCTGGCAGGGAGACAATGAATGTCAAGGTTCAGACCAGATTTCATAACAATCCATCCAACTGTTGTTGAGATATTCCAGTCTGAACCAAAATTTAGGAGTGACAGACCAAAGCCATTGTGGCTAAATCATTATAGAAATTATTTACTGAACTGATTCAAATATAAATATATACATGTTTTATCAGACTGGTTTCTACATTTGGCTTCATGGAGAAACCATGATTTTATCAGTGGTAAATTACAACGTAAAAAGTGCCCTTATCAGCTGAAAAATCAATAGACTGGAAACGTATTGTTTTTGTAAAGTGTCCCACATGTATTGCGGGGCCAGAGATGTTTTTCTCTCTGTCCCATCTAATCCCTCACACAGTATTAATGACAAAACCTTACACTGGCACAAACTGGGACACATAATGTCTTCACATGTGGACAAGGCACCACTGTGCACATGCAGGCTGTTTTTGTA